GACATGAGCAGGAAAGGATATAAAAAAGAAGGAAAGAGCAAGACTTCAGAGACCAAGGGTGAAAGTCTAAATCTTTCATCCTCTTTTGGGGTTCAGAAAGAGAGGAGAATTGTGGGTTGGCTTATTGGTGCTAACTAAGCTGCGGAAAGAGCTCAGCTGTAGCTCTTCTCTTATGTCCTGAAGACAGACAGGCAGAATATCTACCTGACCCGTTGCCAGACAGAAGAATTTGCAACCATGACTCCCTGGCCTCTGAATAGAGTTATTGAGGGTCATTTAATTTAACATTTAGTTTCCTCATTAAATAAAATAATACTGTATCAGTTTCTCCTGATCATCACCATCAGCAGCACCATCATCGCTGTTGCTGTCATTGCCGTCTAAAAGCAATCCTGACTTCAGTCAGATAAGAATTTGTACAAGAAAAAAAAAAACAGCAAATTTTGCCAGATGCACTGATTTTCTGTGCTGTTAACTGGGGATGTTTGCATGTGGGTTCAAACTGGCTGCCATCTCCGCTCCTTCAGCCCCTTCATGTTGATGCTGGCCTGTTATTCAGATGGGAGATTCGACATGAGTCCAGGAGAAAACACTTGAAACGCTATTAAGCCTGTAGTGGGGCTTGTGTGTGCCAGTTGTAAGCCTCCTCTTGTCAGCATGACTGCAGGATGCACACAAGTGCACTGACGAGATAGAGAGGAAGGGAGAGTGAGATGCTCTGCAAAAAATGCCCATTCTAATAAGCCATCAAGTCACACGTTTGGTCAGATTTTTCTTTAATCATGTGAGAAATAGATCCTATAATTTCACTTATCACTGCAGATTTAATTTTGTCAAACTTGTTTTAGAGGCATAAAGCAGTCTGAAAGATTATAGACACCAAAATACCTTGAAAAAGAGCAGGTTCATTTAGATATTTGTAATTTCTCAAAAATAAAAAGTGCAGATAATTAGAAAATCACTTTTCTTTTCCCACTGTCTGGGAAGATTGTTTCATTTGTTTTCAAGAAACAACATAGAGTAGTTCAGATAGCCGGTACTGGATTAAATGACTTGTAATGATGGATATTTCTTGCAGTGGAGGGAGAGATTGAGTTAGAGAAGAGATTGCTTGTCAGAGCCCTGATTTCATCGTTCTTCACTGATGACGATGATAATAACCATTCACAGGAGTGGCAGCAAATGGGGAGGAGAGAGCATAGACGTCTTTTTAAAGAGGCGTACACGCAGTCACTTTCTGCAATCAAAACACAGATTTTTGAAGATGAGTTGGAGCAGAAAGCACACACTCACAAAACAAGCCATAGATTACAGTGCACACATCCTGTTGTTTGCCATCAACAGAGGATATTAGCCTGGTATTTGTGTGCAATAATCAGCAAGCCCTTGATGGACTAGTCTGACATCTGAGCCTGGTAATCAGGCTATGTGGTTTAAGGCGGGGGACTTGGGGAGTAAAACCTTGTGACTCCAATTATGACTATTGTTGTGTTTTAATGTTGTGAGGGGATCTGCTGATTTAAACATGCCCAACGTTGTTGGGAAAGCTTTTTAAATGAGTTCAAAATCTGAGCCCATTGCATATTTTTGGATTCTCCATGACAGCAGTGATATGCAGTTACCAGCCAGGCAGGTTGTACAGTATATATGAACATGTTTGCTCTTTTCCCCCTTCCTCTCTGTTCACTTCATATGTCACCAATCATCATGTTGTCTGCTGAAGACAAATAACATCCTGTTATTATCTAACAAGCAGGAAATTGTGTTGGTTATCATTACAATTGTGTGTATGTTGTATAGCATGTCTTTGTGTGTTATTACATTCACTATGTGCATCTGTACATACTGTATGTGTCCGAATAACTGTACAGCACAAACAGTACACTGCTACCTTTAGATACATCTCTTGTCAGCACCAGTACCCCCTCCCCTCTCCTCATCCTTGGCTTTTTCCTTTCCTCATCTTGTCATATGCGTGATCACTCCGTCCCCGTCTCTCCTCCTTACTCTGCATCCCTCTCCTCCCACAATTCCCCCTCGACGCTTTTAATCTTGGGTTGATGATACTTGGTAGAAACACTTAAGTTTCTGTGCCAGGTGTCTTCCCATGCTTAACATCTTGGGCTTAGCTCTTCATTTCTGCGGCTCCTTCACCTCCCTCCCCTGGCTCCTGAACACACAAGCACAGACACACATGCACATATAGTTACTGTCTCTGTACAAGTGCTCTGCACTGTATACACAGAGACAGATCATTTGTGTGCATGGTAGATATTAGCATGTTTAGGTCTTTAAATTTCATTTTACCTACAGCTTATTATTGTTGTTAATCCTGCATTTGTTATTTTTGCAGGAGTTTTTCAACCTGTTTTCAACAGAAATGAACTTTTCAAGAATTTGGTTGCCCACTAGCATCAAGAAAATTTGCTCACTGTAGAAAGTACTTTAAAATGATTTGCTATGAAAACAGGCTGAAATGTTTTACTTCAGTGACAGACTCTTAAAAAAGAAGGGATTAAAGGGTTCAATTACAGATAGAAATCACTCCATAAGTACATTTATATAGTGTAGGGGTCTTTAAAAACACATTCTTTAAAAAACAAAAAGTTTAGCTGCACATGCTTTTATTTGTGATTACACACCATTGAAATGGAAAAATCAATCCCTATGTACTATAACACTGCTGAGTCATATGGATCTTGATTTGCATTGACTGTACAAAATGCTGTTTACAGCTAACGTATCATTATTGAGATTTAGGAAATGTGTGGAGACTTGGTGTGTTGAAAGAGTTTGCATAGTGTTGCTTTGTTCTTGAAAGACACAAGGGAGGAGGAAGGAGACAGAGGGATGAAAATGAGAGAGAAACAGAGAAGGCAAAGAGAGGCAGAAAGATGAAGAGAGCGATAGCTCTCATGTGTTTATGATATGTTTGTGTTGCCGCAGGGACCTCTTTTCTTCACCCCGTTTCCTCTCCCTCTTCCTTTTTTAGTCACCGTCTAAATATTTTTTTCCTTTGCATCATGTATCTGCTGCCTGTCCAGGCAGCGCTCTCTGTTTCACTCTCGTCTGATGTCTCAATTAAAATTAATGTGTTCAGTCTGCTCAGATAAAGAAGAAAGAGGAGGAAAAAACCTTTTCAGGAACAATGGCAGCTTCTTGCATGCTGGTAACCAATCCCTCCTTGTCTGGGCCCACACTAATGCTTCACAATATTGACAGCTCTTATGGCACTGCCCCTCTGAAAGGCTGTTTTGTGAAACCTGGGGCCAAAAGGAGCCACTGCATAGGTAGTGGATTTCATTCTGATTTCAGATGGCTTTTTTAAAGGATTACCTGACTGTTTTTTTACCCTCAGGTTTTACTCAGTTCTCATGTCATATCATCATCACTGTCCTCAGTGTGGGGTAATCAGAAGCGGGTGGGTTGTGTGTGGTCATCCTGAGGAGTGGGTACACTCCGACCTTCCCCTCTTCCATTTGCCATCCTCTTCCCATGTTTTGTTGTCCTTGAAATGTCTTCATCCCTGGACTGGGCAGTGGTGCTTCTCTCCCTCTTCATCAGGACAGAATGCTGGTGTCAGCACTGCCTTTCCTCCCTCTTCCTTTCCCACCCTGCTCCACCTTTGCCTTTATCTGTCACTTCTTTTAAAGATGCTCTCTCCATCTCTGGTACCCCAGGGGTCAAGCTGGTGGGAGAACAAGGAGGAGGGAACGAGGGGAATGAAGGGATAGGAGAGCAGTAACTGGGGGAAGGGAGAAAAAGAAAGAAGGGAGGGGAGCTCCTGACTTGAAGGCAGAAAGATAATTTCGGCAGGGTGGCTCTGTTTAAGGTTAAAGCCTGATTTGCATTTCAAAAGTGGTGGCTGGTCATGTTGCCACCTCAGGGACGCCATCAGACCAACCAGGGTGTCATTTAATGTCAGCAGGCACTAGGGCCTTGATGAAATTAATAGAGCAGCCAGTGATTGATAACACTGCCGCTCGTCAGCGCATGCCTGTCCCTCCTCCTCCCACAAGCCCAGGTGTCCGCCACAGCACTTTCTCCCTCATCTGAATGCCCCTGATTTCCCAGCTGGCTTCTCAGAGAAGAGATCATCTTCCCCTGTTAACAAACAGGACAACGTAAGAATGACCTAAATGGTGTGATGCTTTTAGGTACCTAGGCTAAGGTTACCTCAGCTGGTCTCATGGCTGGATTACATACTGTACTGGTGATGAAGTGTATGTGCCTTAAGGCACCAGATGACCAAGAGTCTTGAAAGCTCCTGGTCTGCATGTAATATCTCAATCTACAGAGAATATTATGTGAATCCTACTCCTATTATGTGAAACCTACACTGATAATGGCTCAGATACAAAATACTGTAGATGATCTGATTAGTTTTACAAGTGACATCATATGAAGCTTTTAGTGTAGATCGTTATGATTATATCCACTGAACCATTTTGTCATGATTGCATCTTAATGTCACTGGTTGCCATTTGTGTGAGGAGCCTAATTGATTGTGATTAACTTGATTACATCTCTCCAAGGGAGATAAACCAGGCATAGTTTCTGGACACTAAAATATTTCATATTTAAAAATTAGTTTAGAGGCTTCCTGGGTGTGCACTGTTGTAAGCACTAGAGCATCTGCTCAGTAATACAGGAGTTTCTGCAGGGGAATTTCTATGTCTCAGCAGATCTATGCAGAGAAAGTTAACAGTAACTTTATATTGCAAAGGGTCACAGGGATTGGTTGATCCAACTTCTTGTTCAGTGGTAGGCTTGAAGCACAACACCACAGCTGAAAGTAGGTACTTAGAGGTAAACTCAGTGGAGGAGAAGAAGAAACAAGAGGGGATTTTGTTTGTTTGTGAGGGTGAAAAAGGCAGGAAGCAAGCCATTTAGAACAGGCAGGATGCAGGCCAGCTAAAGGCAGGGGGAGACTGGCAAATGAAAGTAGATTTAGGGAACCAGCTCATAGTTCCTGAGGACATGATCAGCACTAACATCAGACCAGACTGTGGTCAAAAGCACAGCAGGCTGTGTATTTTGTTGAGCTTACAGTTCCCTGGGATTTCTCTGTAGATACAGCTCTTGAGAGGAAGAAACTGAAATGCACAGCATTAGCCATGGAGGCAGAGAAGCGTGGCTGGAAAGTTAAAGTCCACCTCATGAAGCTTGGTTGTAGAGGATTTGTAGCCAAGTCAACTGTCTCTCTGCTAGGTGAGTTAGGTATAAAAGAGTGGAACCAAAGACAAGTGATTGGGAATTTAGCTAGAGCAGCAAGATCCAGTGAGTGTCTCTGGAGCAGAAGAAAGGTGTGTGAATGGGGTAAACATGGGTAAGTGATTTATAACTGGAAACATAGGTGAAGAGTATGCCTGTTAAGATGAAGTAAACTAGCATAGGAGGATAGGCTTAGTAACAGTGTTTATACTGTACATGCAGCAGGCTTGAGGCCTACTTCCTGGTGTTAGTATGAGCAAGCTAACATGAGGGCATAGTAGAAGTTTGACTGTTTTTTTGGAATGAATACTAACACAGGGTGGTTTGTGATGCAGTATAAAAGGGAAGAGAAGTCTGGCTAGTTATCTGGTGAGATATTTGAAATGTTTGGTGGCTAGAACAGCAGTTGAAATGTTTGCTAGTGCTAGTGACTTTTTGGTAACAGTTAGCCTGATTTAGCCTGATTAGATGCAGGGTTGTGTTGGGTGTGTGGGTGCAGGCAAAGACGAGGTGGTTCTGGGATGCTGGAACACACTGCCTTCTCTGTGCAACTCAACAAAGTACCAGTTAGTGAGAGGGTGCCCACCTGATGACCCTGTAGACTTGTCTTCACTCCTACACCCACACAGAACTTGTATTGGTGTTGATGATAATACAGTTAGACTCAGTGGAATTGTTAAGTCTTATTTTGTTAGACAGTCTTGGTCGAACAGTGTTGTTAGTGGTTGGCCAACTGAGTGGACCTTTTTCTCAGAGGTGCCTCCCATTACAGGCCAGTCAGACCAACCACTGCTTAACCTGAGTAAATACAATGCAGATGCTGTGTGTCAAGCCACATATCTGCTGTTTGCATGGGTGAGGATAAGGTTCAGGGATGCTTTGTGTTAAGGGCAGGTTAGGTCTGGAAAAGGATGTTGCTTATTGTGGGGCTCTGAAGATTTATGACGGCATGGCCTGACCCCCCCTCTTTGTGGCCAGATAATGGGTTAACATCATTTAACTTGTATACTGAACTTCCACATGAATGCGTTTCCATTCTTTGGTACATTCAGTTGTGTATTATTGACTATATCCACTGAACCAATTTGTCATTATTACATCTTAATGTCAGTGGTTGCTGTTTGTGTGAGGAGCCTAATTGATTGTGATTAACTTGATTACATCTCTCCAGGGGAGATAAACCAGGCATAATTTCTGGACACTAAAATATTTCAGATTTAAAAAGCAGATTATACTAGAGGCTTTCTGGGTGTGCACTGCTGTAAGCACCGGAGTTAAGGATACAGTACCTGCTCAGTAACGCAGGAGTTTCTGCAGGGGAATTTGTATGTCTCAGCAGCTCAATGCAGAGAAGGTTGTTAACAGTAACAAACTGGTTGCTCCAACTTCCTCTCCAGTGGTAGCCTTAAAGCACAACACAACAGCTAAATTAGGAAGGATGGAGATACCCAGTATACAAACAGGTATGATAGAAAACAGCCATGTAAACATCACATGTGCATGTCCAGTAACCAAGAAACAGGTTCCAGCCCTAATCCTTACCTGATAAATTAAGGATAAAGGAACCAGATAATTTAAAGTTTCACAGTCTGTTTTAGAGTCATATAACTGAAGTTTCCTCTTGACAAGTGTTTGAATTAGGGCTGCAGTTACATGTGCCATGGTGATTGGAGTTTTAGTTTGAAAGATTAGACATGATGAGATCACTTTGGTACACTTGGTACTCAGTCTTAATATACTGTATCTGCTAGATAGCTGCGATGCCATTCATGCAGATATTGTTATTCTGCATTGTTTTCAAATCCTGGCCTCCCTCTCCATTGTTCCATTCTATCTATCCAGATCACTATCTGACTGAGATTCAGATTGATTAACTCCATGCCATGTTGTGGAGTAAAAACAACATATTCATTGCATTCTTTTGCAATGTTTTGTGGACTAAGGAAAACAATCCCCTTTTCTGATTTATGATAATATATATTTTTTCTGATAATCCAGTGTTTATAAAATACTTTATTTAACTTATCAAGTAGGAAAATGTTTTCAACTCATAAACACTTTAAGAATGCATAGTTTTAACTGGACAACTACAATTATCCAGCATATTCTTTTATCAAGAAGGATTTTCATTTAATGTCTGACTCATTCAAATAAAATAAAATGAACTTGCAGTACACATAAAATGACAGTTTAAATCATCCTTTGCCATGTCTTTTTTCCTTTTTTTAATGCTACTATTTCTCCATCTGACACTGAATATTTTGCATTTGCAAAACATAACCTAAAGTCCAGATAGTCCAGAGTCAAAGACAGGAATGAAGCTGTTAGGTCCTGCTAATGGAAGTCGTGATCCTGGAGGTTGGTGGTCAGTGGGGTCAGGCTGATCACACATTACACCTTTGTGACAAACCTCCAAGGCCTCTCAGTGTGAACAGAAAAGAGACAAATGAAGAAGAGTGTGACAGAGAAAGATAAAGAACAGAGAATAGAAGAGAGTTGGTGAGAGGCAGCAAGAGAGGAGTGTTTTCAAAAGCAGGCAAGAGAGATGAGAGAGAGAGATCAGAGATCTGGTTGTCCTTAAATGATTTGATGCGTTCTTGTCAGTCTTAATCTCTGGGTGTTGGAGAGAAGCAGGTGGGGGGGGTTTGAGATGCCCAATAATCTCTTTCACGAGCAACAGACAGAGCTTGACGCTTACCAGTCTGCATTCAGTTGTCTCCAATCCACTTCATAAGAACATGTTATTTTGCACACATCCCTCCTTTAGAGCAGCAGCATGCACATGAAAAGACAAAGAAGGAGGTAGATGAAAGCTTGATTCACATACTTTCTGCTTTCTCTCTTTCCTTTCTCTCATTCACTCATTTACATCAGCCATTATCTGTGTATATTGAAAGCAGAAAGATAAAGCGAGAGAGAGAAAAAAACAAGTGCCAGGAAAAAAAAGAACAATAAAAGGAGGCAGAGGAGGCGCAGCGACATTTGAATCAATTACATCCCAAAGAATCTTTCATTTGCATCCGTATCTGTTCAAAACCTGAACAAATGCCAGATGCCTTTGTGTGTCCAGTTATTTATAGTGGGTGTTTTTTCCTCTCGTAATTGTGCAGGAAATATCAAATTTGCATAGAGTGATTATTGTTGATTGTTTATCTAGGCGTCAGGACGTTTCAATATTCGAAGGCTGACAGGTTGTCAAGTACTTAAAACTCATTTATTTGGGGAAATTTGCATGTAATTTGGCGGTAATGAGGGGGGTGTCTGTGGTCATGGATTAGATGCCGGAGATGCTACAGGGAAAAAAGGGATTCTGGCTGACTGGCATTCCTCCACTTGAAACACACGCTTTATCCTCAGCTCGGCTGTCGGGGTGATGCTAATGCTACCTAGCTCCACACACCCAAACAACAGAGGATTGTGTATAAATGCTTGGCATAGCTGTGGACTTAATAACAGAGGCGGAAGCGAGCCAGGAGCACTGCTCTACACAGAAGGAATTGTGTTCAGTACTGTTCTGTCACCCTGCATGCTCACTGTCGGAGGCGAATTAAATGTGCTTGTAAACAAAGTAGCTACAGTGTTTCTCAGCACAGCAGAACTTGCCTTGCCAAAACATACAGTACATTATATACTGTAAATTCTCAAATAAAAGCTGGTATCCAATCAGTGGCTAAGTCTCAAATAGCAGCGCATGAATAACAAAGTCTGGCCCCTAATTAAGTTTCAGTAAACACACTTGTCTTACAGTATAATTCCTCATGTGATATACATTTTCACAACACTGATTCCATCAGAACACCAACAGAGTCATGTCAGACTTAGCAATGTGATGCTCTGAGTTTACCTTTTAAAACAGAAATGCTCTTCTAATTGAATAAATTGTTGTTTTTTTTTCAGTGAACAGCAAATTGGCAGATCAGAAAATAAGGAAGTTTCTCACTAAAATATGATGAAATATACTTACAAACCACTGAGGTAAGTAACAATATGTAAGCTTTATGTTAGCAACAAAGTTTCGATTTGTTGCGTTTTTAGATGGATAAATCGCCTAAATTGATCCAACCACCCCCAGACCAGCTTGTCTCCCTCAACCTCACTCACCAAATTACATTTGAAGCTAGAGCATCAGGATCCCAGTGGGGTTTTATGTGTGCTGTTTGTTGCTGTTAACTGCATTGTCTTTCATTATCAGTCCTTGACTTCATCTTTCATCTAGCATGGTACTGGACAGGGCGAGCTAATGAGTGAACTTCACTGGGGGCATCCAGGAAACACAGAAACGTCACTTTGATGAGCCGCTTATTTGTTTATCTCCACTTGAATTTCAAATTCTGTTTCACCTGTCACAACCAGACCTTGAGAGGACTGGCTTTAACAGCAGGTAGTCTCTGGCTGAGAAGAGATATGAGCCCGGGCTTCACACCACACAGCAGAGCATGAAACCTTGAGTGCATGTTAAACATTTGCCATGTTTTGCCTTGAGCCCAAGGTCATCTTCAAAAAGAAGACTCAGCAAAGCAAACCCTTAGTTCTCAGCTCACAGACTGACTGACTGGCTTGCTGGCTCACTCACTCACCCGAGAACATGAGAAAATATAGCAGAAAGGGCTTACCGGCACCTACAAAAGCAGCTCCCACACCTTTGTGACTCACTCAAAGTCACCTCAACTCCAAGGTTAAACACTCACTGTATTTCCCTCTGAAATATAGATCTGTGTCTGAGTCAAGGCTTTAGCCTCTGCAAATGTGAGCCACTTGGCAGTTGTACCTACTATATGTATGTGTGCCACTGTCATTCTCTAATGTGTTTATATCACTATGTGAATGAGAGCATTCCTGTGTGTGTATATGTGTGTGTGTGTGTTCATATAACTTTTTCACAAGGACGAGTGAGGATAATCAGCCCCCTGCGCACCGGACTAAAAGGCCGGGTCACAGTTTTAAAGAGAAGCTATGTATTTCCCATCCCTAGATAACGGCAATGAAGTGGGCTCTTGTGACTCAACCTGAGAGCATGAAAAGGGCCTCAGAGGGGACCCGCCATTGCCAGGCCCCTCTTTATTGCCCTAACGGCTGCCTGAGCTCACTTCCCCAACCATGGCAAGCTAGGAGAGAGAAAGGAGTGGAGTGGTGGAGAGCTCTCAGTGCTTTACCTGCTGTACCAGGCAGCCACTCTGCCATGAAAGCCAAGGTAATGTTCTGTGTTCAGCGTGATAAAATTTCAGAGAACACTAACCTTGATGTGTGTCTGTGTACGTGTGACAGCAGTTCTAGACTGGCATTGTTGCTGTGAAATTATTGACTGTTGTTTAAGATAAGTGGCCAGTAGTTAATCAGCTGTGGTGGACATCATTACTCTATAGTAGGTCCACATCCTTGTTTATTCTGATGAGGCTACAGATCACATTACTTCTTAAATATACTGTAACTATTAGTACACTGCATGAGCTGCACTTATAGACTATGAGAAAGGTGTCTAAATATATTGCTAGATATTGTTTACCTGCATTGTGGGAGGTGCATGATCGAGTGAATCTGAAGTTTGAGCTATGCTATGGGACTACTAGTGCACTGCTAGTTAACTAGACTACCTCTTTCAAATAAATAGTTTTTCTAATTCTCATTTTCAAGTACTGCACCAGCTCTCGATGTCTTTGCGGTGCAAATGTTTCAAGTCTTTTTGGGTTTTGTCTGGAGTAGCTTTGCTTTTAATTTATTATCTGATCAGTCCATTAAATGTCATTTCAGCAACATGAAATGTCCACAGTAAGAGCTCCATAATCTTTTAAATAGATTTTACATTGTTACACGATGTCCATCTTTTGCAAGACAACGATGTATTATCAAGAAGCCAAATAATTTGGGTGAAGGTCCAGATTTGGCTGATAGGTTGGTGCTTTTTCAACCATAATCCAGATGGATGAGCAAGTACAGACCAGCTGTGCCATGCTGTTGTGGATGATTAAAAGTCATTCGACCTGAATAGGTTTATAAGGCTTTTCCAATGAGCCAGTTTGATCTACTCAGAGGTCAGTTAGAATCTAGCTTAGAGTGCTAGCCAGCAATAATTAACAGGGACTTTTGCCTCATCGGGTATCAGCACTGTAAGAAAAGTCATGACTATTATTTTGTCGCCTTTTTTTAGCATACGTGTAATCTACAGTTAAAAACCAAATGTTCTTTTTGGGCCACTGGATATCCGTAGCTGCCAGTTACACTGTGCTAGTTTCCAGCCAAAGTTGTTGTTTAGAGCACACAAAGATAACAACAGGTACTCTTTTATGGTGGATCTCAACATTTGGCTTTCTGTGGGAGGAGTTATTGTCAGTATGATGGGTAACCACGTTATAATGCTGTATATCCAGGTAGGCGCAGTTATCAAAGTCCAGCAGTTGGATTAAATATAATGTGAACCACTTATGCTCCAAACCCTTCACGTGTGGTTTTTATATAAAATTGATCATTGTCCGTCAATTTTAGCTTTATATCATGCCCTGTGAACTTACAAGATATCTGGGCTCTTGTGGTACAGCCAGCCAAGTCAGTAAATGTTACTATGGTACATCTCAGTGCTTGTCAGAATTACAATTATTAATTCTTATTACTGTAAAATGTGCTGACAGTAGAGACAGCAAAATACTGTATGTAAAAGCTGACATGGTTGGCATTGTGACAGGCTGACTGAAATATCACATGGCAGTTTATATGTGGTTCACAGATCTATAAATAAGTGGTTAGGATGGGCTCTATAAAGAGCAGGTACCCCATTAGCTCTTTTCCCTCTGTCATGGTATTTCTTGTATCACTTTTTCTCTTTTTTCTTGTATCACTTTTTTGACTATACCTCCTCCCCCCCTCCCCCCTTCTCTAGCATCTGTCTCTCTGTCTGGATGGTTGCCTACTGTACTTCTGTGCCTGTGTCTGGGACTTGGCTAGGGCAGAAATAAACCACAGTAATGGCTTTGCTTTGCTGCTAATCTTGTCATAAGAAGGTGTAGCCCTGGGAGGATAACTCTTTGCTTGTGATATCCTAATTTAAACATCAAAAGATTCCATCATTAGGAAGCGTGTGTCTAGCCCAAGTTTTCAAGGGAAATTATTACATCTTCCCGCCACAAAAGTGTAATGCAAAAAGACATTTCTGTCACGCACACATGCAGACACACAGAAAAATCTCGCTGGACTTCATGTTTGTGCATTTGAAGAAAAACATCATCATTAGCAGCTTTCTCATGTGATAGACATAGCAATGGCTTTTTGTGTGGCAGCCTGATGATAGCCTTCATTTGGAGCTGTTGCTTGGTGTTTGAGATGGAGTCTTCTAGAGCCTCTGATGCCTTCTCCGGCGGGTCTGCCTGTGCTTCAGAGCCATTCATGCACGATCCAATGTATGTCATGCAGAGAGGGAGGATCAGGTGCTACCACACCTGGTTAATATTGTAATAGTGTATATTGCAAGACAGGTGCAAATCCACACAGGAAAAGTGTGTTTATAGACAGTAGAAGAGCATACATATGCACAAGCTACTGTATTAATGGCTTTTGTTACTATAGGGACACAGCTACTGTACCAGTAAAGACACTGACCTTGGGATTGTTCACTGGACTGATTCCAGCATTTCGCCATAACCCTTGGACATTTTAGTGTCTGAGCTTATTGTTTTGGTGTTGTGGCCTGTAATTCCCACTACTGTCATGAACCTAATCTTTAGCATGTTTTCAGCAAAAACAAAATAGCACTAATTGCCCAATGCCAAAAGTTGATATATATATACATATGTTTTGTTGTAACAATGGACAGTTTTCAAATATTTTTTGTGCCAGGATTTTGTCAGTATTAACAGGATTATATATGTATACTGGACAAAAAAGGAGGAATTCACACAGTTTGACTTTTAGCATGCGTTTATGTTCAATGTTTCAGCCAAATATGTCTCCAAAGGCCCTTCAATATCAAAAGTAATCCATTAATTTGAGACATTATAAAAAGGCTCTTAAATCAATGTCTGAAGTTGGTTAACAGGCTCCAACTGTTTGGCTCCTGTTACTTGAGTGTTCACAGGCAATGGTGTCTGGCGTATGTGATCTACTGCTTCACAGCAGCACTTGCATCAAATTATTAGCTTGACTGATGATGGATTTAAGAGTGAATCAAGAAATACCATGTTCTATAAGAGAGTGCCATCAAAAGACCAAAGAGGTGTTTGCTCTTTCCGTTTCCCTTTCAACTCTCTTTTAGTCTCTCGCTCTCTCTCTGCATCTTTCTCTCTCTCTCTCTCTCTCTTCAGGAATACTACTACAGTAGGTTTCAGTTGCTATATGATTTATTCATTGTTGTGTTTCTTCCCTTCTCCTTGAGTATTTGGTAGAGAGGACAGGAAACTTTGAACCAGAGTACAAAGCAATGTATATTTGGGTCACACATTTTTGCATTTCTTCTGAGAGCTTTCTGTGTGTGTGCTCGTGCATGTATGGTCTTCCCCTCTCTCTGTCTCCTTATTTCTCTCTCCCCTGCCTCGCTTCTGAGAGCTTGTCTGGTGACTGGGTCGACTCCTCTCCTCTCCGTTACGTTTGTCCTTGAAGTGAGAATCAGTGGGGTGCCCTAATCCAAAGGGAGGCTGGTGTGGAGGAAGTGTGTGTGTGTGTTGGGCGAGGGCAGAGAGGTTGGAAGCTAAATAATGGATGATTTCTTATTGAAATACAGGCCTGGTAAAAATCAAGGGAGTGAGCATGTCATTACCTGGGAAACAGAGCAGAATGCTTAATCCTACTGTAAACACCATGCAGCAGAACCAGGCCACAGCAAAGCCCTGCATGGTTACTGTTGTCAATTTGGGCGCTGCTGCTCAGTGGAATCATCCCAGTGATGTAAAGTTCACTGTGATACTGAGCCTGTTTGTTAGGTGTCATCACAAGCAATGCAACACCTAATAGCGTTATGTCATTACATCAGTGTGAAAGACTGAGCCAAGCCTGAGCAGTATCACAGCTCTCCCTTCATGTTGCCCCCATGCCGTGACTTTGACCTAACACCATCTCGGGTTGCACTGATTGACTCGGCAATCATTATCCCTCCTCCCGCTCCCCCCTTCACCACATTCAGACAAACTTGTCTGGCCCTGAGCCAAGCTGGTAAAATATGTATCTCAGATACATTAGCATCACTTCCCCGAGCCTCACCTTCACTGCAGACGGCCCTGCAACTCAGCGTGCTTTTCAAATCTTGTGCACATAATCAACATATTCACACCTGTATGTTTTACTCTAGTGTGAAAGATGATAAATAACTCATTTGGGTGTCAAGAAAGTTAAATAAAATATCATGTCATAGAGGTATCAGGATTGAGGTGTTTTGTCAAATGTTAGAGTAAGGTTCTTCGAATTTATGCTGTTCCAGTATCAAAAGTGTGAACGCATTTCCTTGTGAGCTAGACTGCCACAATGTTGCGCAAGTTACTTTTTAGGAGTTAATTATTTCAGCCCCATATCTTCTGATGACATTTTGAATTATGAATTTGGAAATAAGGCAGGAAACTGCAAAACAAAATCAGGCTAACGATATTAGCTGTAATTAAAATGGAGAAGTAGCAGGCTGCCACATTACTGGCTTGGAGAGAGATGTATTAGCCAGGCATATGGTTATGATAATTAATCCCAGGACTACAGAGAGACAAATAAACACACGCTAAACAAACAGGGGGGCCAGCTGAGGGCTGCAGGCATGGGTACTTCTTGGGAGGAACCTAAAAAGAGAAAAAAGCAGATCCTTATCACCATTTCTGCAAACAAGAGTATGAGTTGCACACACACACACACACACACACACACACACACACAAGTTTGGGAGACATGATGTAGCAGAAAGAGGAGGAGGAAATATATTGAAGAGGGAACTTTCTCGCATAGGAATTGCCATGTTTCCCCCTTAAATAAGAAACGCATGGTCTTCCCTTTGTAGACTTCACTGTTCATTGCTTAAACTGTAGCAGTAAACTTAACCTTTGTGCTTGCATCAGCAATATATCAGTCAGACACTAATATGAAGCCATCAGTGTTGACAGCATTGTCCCTTTTTTGTTTTACACAATACAAACAAGAGCTTCATCATCACAAAAGAACCTCATCTTCTTACAGGCTCTGAAACTAACAGCCATCCCTTTGTATGGTCTTAAAAATAACTGTAAATGTTTTTTTCTTCCCCAATCTTTGAGTGAAAGAAAGGAGAGTAAAGAGGGAAGTGGGGCCATCCAGGCCCAGTGGTGCGTGAATAGACATAGTGAAGGTTTTGTGGTGAATCGGAATGGGATAATGCTCTCTCTTTTCCTCTATCTGCTTCCACTTGGAGGATGAGGGAGACAGAAGGGAATAGCTGCTAATAAGGCACTGGGTGAAAGGCTTTGGGAAAGCTCCCTGTGGTGCCGGTCTGTAATGGAGATAAGCATTGCTGTGTTGTTGTCTCACAAAAATCAACAAAAAGAACATGCGATGGGAGATTTTCAGCTGCATCCCCAGTGAAAAGCAGGTCTTTCATGGCACCGTAATGTTTAGCAGCATTAGAAATCAT